CAAATAAACTAGACATTGTTTAGGTATTTATTACTTATATATATTGTATATAGTTATTGTACTTTTGTATATAGTTTTTCTTATGTTAGTTATAAGCTTTTTCCTTTTTATTAAAATAGAAAAGGGGAAATATGGTGATATTTTATTTGTATTAAAATGTTATTTGTATGTTAATAAATAAAGTTGCCCTGGGGTCAGAGCTATTAGCAAGCCATGGGAAAGAAGGGCAGTAGTGGCATATGCTTGTAATCCCAGCACTTCGTAGGCAGAGCTAGGTAAGTCTCTGTGTGTTCAGGGATACAGCCAGTATTGGATACACACACCTTTAATCTCAATACCAATCATAGAAAACCTGGAGATCTATACAGACAGGCTGTGATGAGGCAGTCATGTGGTTGGGTTTACAACCAATGAGAAGGCAGAACAGAAACACTATAAAAAGACAGACACACAGGAAGTAGCTCTGGTTTAGAGAGGTAGGACCACTGCAGGAGGAAGGGTAAGGTTTTAGCTCTTAGCTCTGACCTCTTGGCTTTCTTCTTTGCATTGGTTCTGTGTTTCTTATTTAATAAGACAGTTGGTTACATCTATTACATACCTTAAAATAATATTCTACTGTGTGTTTCATTGAGGACATTAACCACTTATTAATTAAATGAAAATATTAAGTTTTCTGTCAGCAAAGAGACTTTGTGCTTCAGAGGTGATAACTGGCTCTGTCACACAGACAGAACTCGAATGCAGATGATGACTTTAGTCTTTAGTCCAGACTCCAGCTGCATGTGGACTGGAAGCCAAATAACCCCTTGTCTTTTGTGGAGAGATTAAAAGGAGCCTCCAACAGTGAACCAAAGAAGGGCAGAGGGAAAAGTGTGACTTGACCTTAGCCATAACTCCATCTGTACCACAGATGCCCATTCAAATGAGCTTATGAGTTTTTATGAAAGATCACCAGCAAACCTGATTGCCAAGGAACCGAGTGAAGTTGACTGATTGACAGTATAGTCCAGACCAAGCAATTCTTATGGTTTTCCCCAACTTATATTGCATATTTATTTGCTTGAAACAGATATTTATCTACTTGAAAGAGTACCAAACTAAGTAGCTAATACAAGAAGAAAAATCTAAAGGGACTAAAAGGTTGAAAATTTTTGGTAGGGAGAAAAATCACATGCCAATTCAATAATTACTTTAAAATATGACTCAAATATTTTAATTAAATGTTAGTTAATTGGACCATAATTGCATGACCTACTTTATGAATTTTGAAACCTTGTTACTTAGCAGCTACATACACCCATGTATGAACACACATGTATATCAACTGAACATATATTTAAAATTCATAACTTGAAGTCTAGAATTCTCATCCCTTATCCATCCGTCAACCCTCACAAATCAGCTGTTTTAAATGAATTTAAAACTATTCATGTCATATACATCAGTGACTGATGTCAAATCTACCTGACTCTTTTTGTCGTCTTCTACTTGACTTCCTTATAGTATTTGTACAACTGGCTAGTTCTTTTCTCAAAAATCTGCCTTTTGCAATTCCTAGAAAACCATGCACTTTTGACTTTAAGTGTTGTATGACAAGGCATGTTGGTATCTGTCTTTGTTAAAGCTAATACCTGAGTGTGTGTAACTTACAAAGACCAGAAAACTATTTGATGTTTCTGGTGGCTAAAAAGTTAAAGATAAAAGAATCAATCAATAGGTTTGTTGTCTGGCAAGTGTTGAGTCTCTGACAAGACCCTATTCCTGAAGTCTGCATATATCTTGGATGAAAGATACAGAGAAATTAAGTGGGACCTGTGCTGGAAGCTTCCTCCCTCCTGGCAAGCTTTCTCAGTGCCAGATAGTGTTATGCAGACTTCTGGGAAGTAAAGGAATCAATGGTCTTACTAGTTTTGTGAATGACAAAAAATTCCAGGAAAGATTGCCCATCGGTACAACAGTGGCATGATTATGATGGAGGTAACCAACTACACCCTGATTGCATTTAAAGAATACTCCACAAGAGTGAATCCACCCCTACTACCATAAATCTGGTTAACAATAAACACACAAGTAAACAAACACCCCATGACTGAGAAGATCTTTTGGTCCTAGTGGTGAACTGATTCTTAGCTAAACAGGCATAGCATCAAACAGCCTTGTAAGTATCTGTTTTTATTCACAGACAAAAGCTACCTTCAGCTTTAATAAGAAAAGCATCTTTTTCTAGTAAACAGAGGAGAAATGCAAAGACCCATAGCTGTACACAATGTTAATAAAAAAAAGATGGTAAAAGACACAGCTCTAAACAACCCACTTAAGAGTTGAGGAACATTGGAGAAGAGGGACCGAGAGAGTGCATGGAAGCCAGGTCGTTGGGAGAAAGGCTGTGAAATGCCATCTTCTAAGGAAAACACAACCATGGCAATCATGGACTTAAAAGAGCTGTACCTGGCACTGGGCCTACACACGTCGAGATCTCCAAACAGCCAGCTGTGGATGGGGAAGGGCTCATGGGGCCTACCATTTTCTGAACCATTAGCAATTAACAGAGACGGGGGGTGGGGGGCAGGGCATTATTTCTAGTTGTGCACAGATTGGTGAGCCCACCTGGCTCTGATGGATGCTTCCAAGTCCTCGGTCATGAAGATGGCCTTAGTTTAACACTGTGGAGCACATAAAAAAAAATCATGAATGTTTGAAAGAAATTTGTAGGAAAGAGGAGGAAGGTAAGAGAGGGTATGTAGGGACAATAGCCAGAATGTATTACATACATGTAAGACATTGTCAAAGGGCAAAAATTAACGACAAAAAAGAAAATGCACAAACTCATGGAATCCATATTAAATGATAGATGAGTCATTGAAAAAAATTTTTTAAAATAATTAAAATTCCTAGAACTAAATTATAATGAAAAATGTGACATATCCCAACCTAAGGGATACAATGAAATTAGCCTTAAGAGAGAAGTTTGGGGTTCTAAGTGTCAATATTTAAAAAAAAAAATCAGAGAGAACTCAACAACTTCCTCATGTACCAAAGAGTTTGGAAAAAATAATCTATGAGCATGGTGTGTTAGTGTGTGTCTTCCTCCACTCTTTAGAGATTTATAATTTTCATTATAGAGATATTTTACCTCATTTGGTTAGGTTTATTCCTACATGCTTTAATTTTTGAGGCTGTTGTGAGTGGGAGTGTTTAATGAGCTCTTTCCACTTTCCTGAAAGTGTTGACTATTTCTAGGAGCTTTCTGGTGGGCTTTGGGGGTCTCATTCATAGTCTCATCTTCTATGAAATGGGGATAATTAGACTCTCTTGCTGTTTGTTTCCCTTTAGTTTCTCTCTCTTACTCTGTTCTTCTAGCTAGCACTTTAAGCTCTGTCTTGAAAAGGAGTGGGGATAGTGGAAGGCTTTGTCTCTTTCCTAATTTTGATGGAATTGCTTCAGGTTTTACTCCATTTAGGGTGATGCTGGTCATGGGTTCTTCATACACAGCCTTTATTATGTTGAGGTATGAGGTATGCTATTTCAGACTTTTCAGACTCTTTTTTTTTTTCCTTTCAGACTTTTATACAAAGACTTGTTGGGCTTTGTCAAAGACTTTTCTGCTTTCATTGAGATGATCATGCAGTTTTTGCCTTTACGTCCATTTGTATAAGTTTTTACATTTTTTTCGTTTACATATGTGAAACCATCCCTGCATCTCCAGGATCAAGACAACCTAATCGTGGTGGATGACCTTTTTGATATATACCTACATTTGGTTTGCGGTATTTTATTGAGAAGCTGTACAATTATGTTCATCAGGCATATTGGCCTGTAGTTTTCTTTCTTGCTGTTGTGGTGTTTTAGTATTAGAGTAATACTTGCTTCATAGAAGGAGTTCAGAGGTGATCTTTTTGTTTTTATTTAAAAAAAAAACAAGACGTATTGGATAGAATTAATATTGCTAAAAGCACCATCATACCAAAAGAAATGTATAGATTCAGTTCAACCCCAATAAAAACTCCATGACATTCTTCTAAGAAATATAAAACTCCATCCTAAAATTCATATGGATACACAAAATACCCTGGATATCTAGAGCAATTCTGAGAAAAAATTACAATGCTAAAGGGATTATAATACCAGATTTCAAGCTATATTATAGAGATATAGTAATCAAAACAGCACAGTACTGGCACAAAAAGACACATATAGATAAATGGAACAAAAAGATGACCCCAATATGAGTGCATGGTTGCAACCATCTGATATTTGATAAGGATACTAAAAACACGTATTAGAGGAAATACAGAGTTTTCAACTAATGGTGTTATAGAACTAGGTGTGCACACATAGAAGATAAAATTAGATCCATATTTATCATCTTGCCCCAAAATCAACTCCAAATGCAACAAAAGCCTCAATGTGAAATGTGAAACAATAAAGCTTCTAGAGAAAAACAGGTAGTAATATACAAGATATAGGTACAGGAAAAGATTTTCTGAATATGACTCTATTTGCTAAGAAATTAAGACCAACAATTATCTATCAGTTGAATCTCATAAAACTAGAATGCTTCTGTACAGCAAACGAAACAATCAGTTGAGTGAAGAAGTCCACAGAACGGGATAATCTTTGGCAGTTATACCTCTGATTGATGGTTAATATCCAGAATGCAGGAACAATAACAACAGTAACAAAATCCAAACAAAGAAAGAACTTTTAAAAACCCAATTTTATAAAGTGGACTATCTGGACAGAGAATTCCCAAAAGAAGAAATAGATATGTTTAAGCAATTTATTTAAAAGTATTCAATATCCTTAGCAATTGGGAAAGTACAAATTAAAACTACTCTGAGATTTCATCTCACCCCAGTCCAAGTAGATAAGGTTAAAAAATAACTGATAAAAAATGCTGGTGAAGATGTGGGAAAAGAGAAACCCTCGTTCACTGTTGGGGGTACTTCAAATTGGTGCAGCCACTCTAGAATTAAATGGGGAGAAATCTCAAAAATCTAAAAGGAGATCTGCCCTAACTACATCTTAGCATATACCCAGAGGACTCAATAACTTGTTACAAAGATATTTGCTCAGCCATGTTCATTGCCATTCTACTCACAATAACTAGACAATGGGGGGGGCGCTAAATGCTCTTCACCTGATGATTGGATGATGAGAATGTGGTACATACACACAATGGAATTCTATTACAGGTAAATGGACAGAACTGGGAACTATTATATTGAGTGAGGCAATCCAGACCCAGAAAGACAAACACTTTATGTTCTCTTATTTGTGGGTTCCAACTCTGAATATTTAGATTTGGACAAATAATCTAAAGTAACCACAGAAACTAGGGAAACAGAAAAGGACTATGTGTGTGTGTGTGTGTGTGTGTGTGTGTGTGTGTGTGTGTGTGTGTGTAGTGGGAGCTCTGAAGAGGGGAATAGTAAGACACAGGTGCTATGAAGGAGGAGATGAGAAAATGAAGAACTTTAAATTATGGAGAAGGGGATGGGAGGGTGATATGTTGGGAGCATAAATAACACTGAGGATATCTGGAAAAAATCCATAGGAAAATGGGAAACACTATTTTGCAAGCATATTCAAATACACACACACACACACACACACACACACACCTTAAATGGGTTTACATCACACCGGGTGATAATGCTCCCACCAAGAGCCATAATCTAACGAAGACCCCAATACCAGGCATGGTAAACTTTCCTTGGAGTTGTCGATCAAGGGAGTATAAGAGACTCTCAACACAATGTGGGCTATTTCCATTGCCCTTGGTTGCCTCTCAGAACCTGAGTGCAAGACTATTGCTAAAGACACCACACATCTCACACGTAAGACTTGGAAGAATCAAGCTAGAATGGACCTGGAAGCTTCCCCCTAAAGACTAGCCCTTATAATGTCCACTGGTGCTACACAAGTTGTCAAGAGAGGAAAGCAATCAATAGTCCTACCTAGCTGTAAATCCTACAAGCCACAACAATGATTGGCCTGGCAAGATATTCCAAATGGCACAGTAGTGGCACTTTTATCTTGGGGATAACCAACAGCTGTCTCAGTGGACTTAAGGCTGGCTTAATAGGAAGGAGTTTGTATCTGGTACTATAAATGCAGCCAACAACCTGTGGCTGAAGAAGTCACAGAACATAAAGGAGAGTCTATTACTACTGTTTTCCCAAATCAACATAACTTCTAATTGTATTCTAAATAGTTGTTCCTTTACCCACAATGAGTGTAGCTATAACCCCTCATCAAAGAAACTCCATTTTGTAACAGATGGACACAACTCATCAAAAGGTAGAGAATAAGTGGTCATGGGAGGCAAAACCCAAACAGCATATTTACAATGCAAACCCTATACCTAAAGCTCAGGAAACACCTTGGGAAAGGAGTGAAAGATTATGAGAGCCAGAGGACCAGGACTCATGCCACCATACAGTGTCTACTGAGACAATAACAAGGAAGCTGTACCATGACATCTCAATCACACAGTTTCCTGAATAATGACAATACCAGTTGACATGTTAACATGGATAGAGGAAATCTCACAGGACTCCACCCTTAGATGAAGAGCCACAGGCAAATTATAAATGCTGAGAAAGGGAGAATTAGAGCTGAAAAAGGACACACTATAACAAATACTAAAGATATTCAGAACTATAAAGGTATATTTTAAAATCAATGTTAGAAAACTTAAAAGAAATGTATGATTTTCTAGATGCATCTGACTCACTATAGTCAATGTGGAGATCAATAATTTAATCTACTATAGCAATTGGATCACACCTGTAACAAACAAGATGACTGAAGCAATAATAAAATTCTCCCAGGGATACAAATAGGAAAAGAAAAAGTCAAACTATTTTTATTTGCAGATGATATGATCATATCCATAAATGACACTTAAAACTCCAAGAAGAAACTTCCATACCAGATACATATTTTCAGCAAAATAGCTGGATACAACATAAATGCACAAAAATCAATAGTCTTATTGTATACAAATGACAAACAGATTGAGAAAGAAATCAGGGAAACAATGCTTTTCACAGTAGCTTCAAAAATATCTTGTTGTAAGTCTAACCAAGCAAGCTTGTTTGATAACCAAATAAGGTTTATGTGATAAAAACTTTAAGACACTGAAGTAAGAAATTATAGAAGTTATCAGAAGATAGAAAGGTCTCCCATGCTCATGGATCAGTAGGATTAATAGAGTAAAAATGGCCACCCTGTAAAAGCAATCTACAAATTCAGTACATCAAAATTCCAACACAAATTTCACACAATTTGGAAGAACAATTTTCAGCTTTATAGAAACACAAAAAATCCAAGATAGCTAAAACAATCCTTCATAATAAAAGAACTCTGGAAGACCATCCTGATCTCAAATTGTAGTACAGAGCTATAGTAATACAAAGCATGATTTTGGCACAAAAACAGACATGTTGATCCATGGAATAGAACTGAAGATCCAGGTAAGTCCATACATCTATGGACACCTGATTTTTGATAAAGAAGCCAGAAATACACACTGGGAAAAAGACAGCATCTTTAATAAATGGTGCTGGCCAAACTGAATGTCTGCATGTAAAAGAATGCAAATAATTCATACTTGTTACAAAACATACAAAACTAAAGTCCAAATGGATCAAAATCTCAATATAAGAACAGATATCTTGAATCTGATAAAAGAGAAAGTGAGAAATAAACTTGAACTCATTGGCGCAAGAAAAGTCTTTAAAAACCAACAATTAATAAATGGAACTTCAGAGAATTGAAATGCTTCTGTACGACAAATGACGTCATCATCTGAACAGAGAGGTAGGATACAAAATGGGAAAATATCATTCCCTATCACATATCTAGTAAAAGGTTAATATCTAAAATATATAAAGAACTCAACACACTGGGCATCAAGAAAACAAATAGCCCATTTAAAAATGGGGCACAGAACTAAACAGAGTGTACAAAAGATGAAACACAAATGGCCGGGAAACACTTAAAGGAATGTTCAACACCCTTAGCCGTCAGAGAAGTGCAAATGTGAATTTCTTTGAGATTTCATCATAAACCAGTCAGCACGGACAAATCAATAAAATAAACGAAAGTTCATGCTGATGAGGATGTGGGGTAAAGGTAACCTTTATCCACTGCTGGAGGAAAAAATGAAAGCCACTGTGAAAATCAGTGTGGGGATTCCTCAGAAAGCTGGTAATAGATCTACCTCAAGATCCAGCTATACCATTCTTGGGCATATACCCAAGAATTCTAAAGCCTGCTACACAGACACTTGCTCAATCATGTTCATTGCTGCTCTATTCATAATAGACAGAAATTGGAAACAGCCTAGATGTCCGTCAATGAATGACTAGATCTGAAAAATGTAGTATATTTGCACAATGAGAAATTATTCATCTGTTTAACAACAATAACAACAAAATCATGAAATTTGCAGGTAAATGGATGGAGCTAGAAAAAAATCATTCTGAGTGAGGCAACACAGACTCAAAGAGACAAATATGATATATATTTGCTTATATGTGGATGTTAGCTGTTAAGTCTCTGATAAACGGGATGTAATCCACATAACTGCAGAGGTTAGTTATGGGATAAGAGACTAGGAAGGGGAAATAGAACAGATAGCTATGGATGGACGAGTGGGGACTGGAAACTGGAGGATCAAATGGGGAGGAGTGAAGGGAGGGTAAGGGAAGGCATGTGACAACAAAGAGCTAAAGCCAAGGGCCACTGGAGTGTTTATATGGAAACAATACAGCAGGAGCTTCATAAAATACATAGATGTAACCTTACATATAATCACAAAATAATGGGGACGCAAAGCCCTAACTACATGATATCTCTCACCACCAAATGAAATCTCCAGTGCTTGAAATGGGTTCTATCTAATCAAGTTGTTGGCCAAAGGGGCCCCATGGAAACCTAAAACATACCAAGGTGTTGCCAAGGCTATTGGTTGTTCTCCACAAACTGATGGTAAGGCCCCACTGCTGAGGACCACACCTATGTAACTCACTGAACACCTCACTGGAGCCTTCATCTCTGTTGACTAGTGCACATGGTACTGGAGGGTATTCTGCAGTCTACCAGAGCAGAAAGGTAAACAGCAACACAGCTACAAAGCCTTCAGTCTACAGTGGTGATGGTATCTGCAAGGTGTGCTGGTGTAATAGTGGCACAAAGCTTATGGTAGTAACCAATCACTATCTGGTAGGATTTAAGGCCCACTCCATGAGATGGAACCCGTCCCTGACACTGTTTAGGTGGCCGAGAACCTGAGACTAGATAGGCCATAGACCTAGTAGACAACAACTGTTCTGCTTAAGGAGCATAACAGATAACATAACTGACAACATTCTGCTGCACTCACAGATCAATGTCGTACTTACCATCCTCAGAGAAGCCTCCTTCCTCTTGGATTAGGTGGGAACAAATAGAGACCCACAACTGGGCAATGTGTAGAGAATGAGAGACCTTGGAACACTGAGTCCCAAATGTGATGTCCCCATCAAGTCTCTCTCACTTCAGGGCTCAAGGAACTCTGTGGAAGAGGAGGCAGAGACTGTAAGAGCCAGTGGGAATGAAAGACACCAAGGAAATAGGCCTTCTAGATACAACAGGGCCAGTGCACATATAAACTCAAAGAGACTGCGGCACCATGCACGTGACCTGCACAGGTCTAAGCCAGATGTGGCCCCAGCAACAAGAGAGGAAGTGGACACAAGCCCCCATCCCTAACCCAGAAGTTATCTCCAATTGATAGTCACTCATTTAGGATAAACTAGTTTTCTCCAGTGGAGTCTACTGGGGATACAGACCACACTTTAGGGCACTTAATGACAGGCCCATGCCTATCAGTAGATGGCCGACATAAAACAATTTCAATAGTATTTTTGGAGGTCTGGGAGGGTTTTTGTTGTTAGTTTTTGTTCGTTTGTTTGCCATACAGATCTTTTGCTTATATATTATGGCTTCATGTTTTGTGCTTTTGTGGGATTTCTCTGTGTGTGAATGTGTCTCTATGTCTGTACGTGTTTCTTATGCTTTTTTCTTGGGCTCATTTTTCTCTCTGTTTTATCCTGTGCTGTTTTTTATTTTTTTTATATACCTGTTTGTTTTCTAATGAAAGAGAGAAAGGAAGTCTGTGGATCTGGGTGGGTAGGGAGGTGGGTAGGATCCAGGAGTTGGGGAAGGGGAAACTGTGATCAGAATATACTGTATGAAAAAAAAAAATCTGTGCCAATTAGGAGAGGAAGAGAGGTGGGGCACTGAGTTGGAAGGGTGGGGAGGTACAGAGGATCTAGGAGATAAAACTGTGATCAGAATATATTATATAAAAATAACCTTGTTTTTAAATGAAATTAAAGAAAAACAACATAGTATTTTTATTATGTAACAATGTACCTCTGAAACACCTTTTCTTTGTTTTTATTTTTACCTTAGACTGTCTAAGTTTCTGAACTCAGAAACCTCCTGCCTCAACTTCCTTAGTGCTGGCATTTCAGGAAAGCACCACCACACTTAGATTGGGATTATTTTTTAATTGCCTAATTAAAAATATTTCTTAACTCAAAATTGTACAACTAATAAAAAGTTGGTTGCTTTTAACAACAGATGGAATGCATAAGGTATTTGAATTCACATGAACATATCAATAATTTATAGTCTAGCAAAAATGTGTGCTTTGTATACATATTTTGACAACTTCTGTGCCATTATGTACTTGTCAAAAAGGAATACCAGTGGACATGGTGCCCTCTGTACGGCATTGTGGGGCACATTCCCCCAGGATAACACCTTTTCTATTGATTGTCAATAAAAATGGAAAGTTTGATTTGTAACTACACATAAGAGGAAAGATTTGTGTTATTTGTTCCGTGCACCCTTTGGGGACAATATTGTAGGACACATACTAATGTCACTGACAACAGGTGGCTTTATTTGAGTTCTCCTATGTTCCTAGCCACTGACTCATCACAGTGGACAGAAGGAATATTCCTGTGAATCAACAAGACCAAAACAATACTTCAAACCACACACCACTAACTTAGTAAATAAAAAAGAACCATATAAACATCCTTGTGGTGAGATTCTTGAACAGTCAGGCATTCTAATAGAATTCCCAAGATGAGGATGAGTACTATGGTTTGAGTATGGAAGGTTCCCCAGGCTCCTGAGTGTAAACATTTGATCTTCCACTGGTGGTGGTGTGTTGAGAAGCTGTGGAACATTTGGGACTGTGGATACACTTTCCCCAGTGGTAGTCACTATGGTTCTTGCTTTCTGCTACTCCATTCCCTAAGATGTGACTGATGTGTGCCACACATTCCTACCATGCAGACTGTCCTGCCTTCCTGGCCTTGATGGGCTGAAACTCTGAGCTCAAATAACTGTTAGTTATTTTGTCACAGAAATGAAAAAAGAACCAATACTGCATGACAATGGGCAAAACCAGTGTAGAAAAGAACAGTAGTTTAAACCATTATTGTTAAACTGTGTCTCACTTATTAATTTTATAGATTTAAAACATATACATCATTAGGTCACTCTCAGATCCTTTAGGGCCCAGCAGGCAAACGACCCCACAGTTCAAGCTTGTGGGAGTTATGGCAAATCCATCTGTCCTACCCAAGATGCTTGGTAATAATGTCATTCATGTATTAAAGTTCTATGGCCAAATCTTAATATTCTCTTCCTCAAACCATCACCCCAAACCCCTTTCTCTTATTCCTTCCTGTGTTTGGTCGTGTTTTCTGAGCACTAAGTGTACATAAGGTTCTTTCTTCAGACTGGAAAAAGTAACGATGCATAAGATGTGCATGGTGCTTCCCTGCACAGAGCTCAGTCAAAGGCAAATCCTACTGTAGGTTACACTATTCCAGCCTTGCCGTCAGCTGCCAGTCTGTTTAGGGTCTGTGTTGGGATTCTGCCACTGCTCCAACTGCACAACCTCACATGTGCAGTTCAGGAGCAAAGCAAGGGGTCTCGCATCTTATGTCATCAGTGTGCACTGGTGATTACATGCACATGTCATGGTCACGCAATCATCGCATGCATGGTGTAGCTCCGTAAGCCCACCTGTGCCTTAAAAGGCTAGACATAGTCTCTCTCTCTCTCTCTCTCTCTCTCTCTCTCTCTCTCTGTGTGTGTGTTCTGTTCTCTCTTCACCCCACTATCTCTATCCTTCTCTCTCCCTTCTCTCTGCACATGCATCTCCCCCAGGCCTGGTTCTTTTGTGTCCCGCCCCCAAAAAAGCTCTGATAGTGGGTTTTGTCATGGTTCGTGCCTCATGACCTTTCCCCACAGTAACCAGTGCCGCTTATCATTCTTAACAGTCTGTCCTACTATGACGAATTCAAATTGTACTTTGCTTAGACAGTCTTAAATCCATCTCAGGATCCTATAATAAAAAACCATAGTCCAGGTAATTTTAGATGACAAACTTTTTTTTATTTGGTTCTGGAAGCTGAGAAGTCTAACCTCAAAGAGCCAGAGAAATTGTTATCTGTTGAGGACTGTTAGAACATGGTCTGAGAATGGAGTCTTGTGAGAATTCTGAGTGGTTGTGAGAAGACTCCAAGAAAATGAGCCAAGAGTCTTGTGACCTCAGTTTCTTTAAAAACACAGAGTTGTTCTTAGAATGTGTTTTCCTGTTCCTCCCAGGTGTAGCAGATAGGAGTGAGCTGACTTCAGCTGTTGTTATTCATATGTCTCTATGGAAAGCATGTTTTTGCCACATGTGGCTTGTCCTTGTGATTGTATACTTTATTCAGGTAACTTTTTCCTAACCCTCAGAGTATAAATTGTCTGATGCAGTGAATAAAACTGGCTATTGCATAAGACTTTAGTCTGTCTCATTTTTAGGCCCCTGCTCTCCCAGGTTAATGCAACCAACGAGAGTGGTAAACAGAGGGCGCCACTTCCTGGTTCACAGATGGTTGTCATGACCCTGTGACATTACACTGTAGAAGGGAGAAGAGACTTCTTTTGGAATCTCTTTGATAAAAGTAGTAATCTAGTTCACTAGGACTCCCCCCTTGTGATCTTATCACATACCCCAAAAGTCCCACTCCCTAGACCACTAATTAGGGATTAGGTTTCAACATTGGAACTTTGGAAAACACAAAGCATTCAGTTCATAGCCACCTGGAATGCCACACCCCAGGCAGCTTACAGAACCAGTCCTGGCCTCATGACTCTCTGGTCTCACAGCGTGGTCCTTATTGCCATGCGCAGGACCCCACTGAAGGCCTCCAGAAGTGCTCCGGGAGCTCATTTTCCTGCTTCCAGGCCCAAAGCTTCTGTTCAGCTCATGAGTTCTTCCACGTGCTCTGGCCTCTCTCCTCAGCTACACATCCTCTAGAAGGCTCACCTGTCACTCCTCTGCATAGTTGTTTTCCTCACAGGCTGGACAAACGCTTCACTCACAACAGCTCAGTAGTTAGTTCCAGAAGCTCCTATGGGGACCGGGTAAGAAGACCTTTGGAGAAAATTACAAAGTCCATTTTCTACATAAAATCTAACGATTAATATTCATTTAATCAGGAACATAATGACAGTATTATACATTTGTTACTTTTCTTTTCTTTTCTTTCTTTCTTTCTTTTTTTTTTTGAGAGCCTTTCCTGGAACTCACTATGTAAACCAGGCTAGCCTCAAACTTAGAGAGATCCGCCTGCTTCTGCCTCCCGAGTGTGTTAGGATTAAAGACATGCACCACCACCACCTGGCTTGTTACTTTTTTTTTTAAAGGAGAACATAATTTTGCGTATTTCATTTAGTGTTAGCCTCAGTTAAAAAAAATCACTTCTAGCCATGCATAGTGGTGCATACTTTTAATGTCAGCACTTGAGAAACAGAGGAATGTGGATCTCTGTGAGTTCAAGGCCCACCAGGGCTATATAAAGAGACCCTGTTTCAAAAACAACAAAACAAAAATTAAAACAAATGAAGAAGAAGAAAGAGAAAGAAAGAAAAAGAGAAAATACTACTTTTCTGCTTGTAATTTTGAGTTAGAGAGATTTAGAAATGATGAAATCTGGTCTTGGTATAGAGAAAGACTCTTGTGTGATTTGGTGCTGAGGGCACATTCACACAATATCTGCTGGCTTTGTTAGGTTTGACTCCTAACTTAGTTTTGCTTTCAAATCCAGATGCAAAGTATGGAATGCTCCTCAGTCAAATGCAGAAGGATACACATACAAGGTGACTGCCAAGCATGAAGATCTCTCCAATGGAAAGACGAAGATCTGACAGAGACCTCAAAAGAAGCTCAGATTCCACCCTGGGATGCTGAGGAATCTGGAGAGAAGCATGTTCAGACTCTGAAGAGGGAAGTAATAGACATAAAAAGCTACTGAGGGTCCGAGGCACAAAGGCCGTGCTCAAGCTTCTTTGAAATGACTCTTAGTTCTTGGGCATCCCCTAAGCAAATCAGCCATCACACAGGAACCCTCAGTGCTACTCAGGGAATCCCATGAGCTGGAGCTGTAATCAATGATATACAAATCAAATACTGCAATCTCTGCCAATTGATGAGACATGGTCCTGAGGCTAACAGGAAGGCAAGTGTCTAGTCTCCATTTTCTCAGAACTGGTCCCATGAAAGAAGAAAGTTGTGATGTGCACAGCTGTATGGGTCAGCTGCAGTCAATCATGGAGGAGGCGGTCACTGTCATGGCCTACCATGGGGACATCAACTCTGGAGTCATTCTTTGGAGAATATCACCAGTTGTCTCTCGAGTCACAGAGGTCAGTATTTCTTAGTTGCGCAGAATTTTAAAAGGCACATATGGAAACAGCAGCTTTGTGGGATATCTCTACACCTTCCTCCCAGATTTGTTGTGAATCTAAAATTATTCTGGGAACAAAATGAAGTTTTAGTTATGATTTTTAAAAAAAATATGGAACCAGGTGGTGGTGGTGCACGCCTTTAATCCTAGCACTCAGGAGGCAGAGGCAGGCGGATGGATCTCTGTGAGTTTAAGGCCAGCCTGGTCTACAAAGCAAGTTTCAGGACAGTCGGGACTCTGTCTCAAACAAAACAAAAAATGGAAAGACACCAAAAATTTTGAATCTAGCAAAAAAATGTGATTTGAACTTTGGCAAGTTGAGATAGTTAAGCCCATGCAGGTTGTTTTTGCAAGAGACTCTGGGAAACAGTGGCAACCGACTCATCTGAGCAGGCACAATGCCCTTCTTAACAGATGCCTGGTAGAAAAGGCAGCCAAGAGCCGGGCGCTGGTGGCGCACGCCTTCAATCTCAGCACTCGGGAGGCAGAGCCAGGCGGATCTCTGTGAGTTCGAGGCCAGCCTGGGCTACAGAGCGAGATCCAGGAAAGGCACAAAGCTACAGAGAAACCCTGTCTCAAAAAAAACCAAAAAAAAAAAAAAAAGAAAGAAAGAAAAGGCAGCCAAAAGTCCACATATGAAGAACAAATGTGCTGCCGAGTGCAAGAATCCAGGTGCCCAGTGCCGAAATTGTTTTCCATTCTACACTTGCCGGCCTATGGCAAAGAGACTGGCGAGTCAGTTGACTCTTACACACTAAAGTGAAATGGCCAAACAGCTTCCATGACTATAGGAAAGAAGGTTAGGAGACTTGGATGACAGTGTTCCCAAAGTGGCACTAGGAATCCTCATTTTACTTGTATCCATATGAGGAAGTCTCCAGAGCCTCCTGTTAACACTATTTCACCTTTAAAGCTTGGGTGTCATATGTACAGAGACAACTTGGCATCTTTCACGAGAAGAGATGTGTCCCCCATAGCAATCCAGGACAAAGTCATTTTATCCAAGAGAAGAGATGATTATTCATAAGAGGGGAATCTGTCTTTGATCTTTGCTGTCTGCCTTCATGGTCTTTAAGCAACTCTCTACTAAATAAATGTGGCCATAAGTAGTTTATAAGTTGCTTGTCTAGTCTATGGGTGAAACGTCTTGTGAGTAGTGTATTCTCCAGTAAAGCATTGCAATGTAAGTGAGTTGGACTTAGGATGTCAGTGTTCTCTGCCACCGGAACTGAAATTTCAGTTCAGCAAGAAATGTAGTTCAGGACTTACCCAGAAGAGACAGGCCCCTGAGTTTGATTCTTAGAATGAAAGCAAGACAATTTTAACAGAAGCATCATTTTATCAGAGTCTAATATCAGTGGTAATAGAAGGTACGTGTGTATTTGAGGATTGTGTCTACATATAAAAGACCAATATATGTATATGAATGAGAGAACTATTTTAATTTTTCTGTTTTCATCCATATTTACTTTTTTTGTTTGTTTGTTTTTGTCTCTCTGGATAGCCCTGGATGTCCTGGAACTCACTCTGTGGACTAGGCTAGCCTCTAACTCAGAGATCCGTCTGCCTCTGCCCGAGTGAGTGCTGGGATTAAAGGAGTGCTCCACCATCACCCAGCTGCCATGTTCACTTCTTCAGGCTTCTAGACTTCCTCAGAACTCAGACTACTGGGAAAAATCAGCGGTCTCACTGCAAAATGAGACCCTTGAATTTTCTACTTCTGTTGTGGGTTTTTTTTTTTAATTTTTAGAAGAGTTCTCACTTTCAATTTTAGTATATGTGCTGCCAAAGCGAGCACAAGTTCTCACTTTCAAAAATCGTATTTTCATACAATTATTTTGATCAAATTACATTTTTTGAAATTCTCAACAAATTAATAAAGTATTCTTAAACATGAACTATTCACAGCAATGAGGGTGAGAAAGAGGGATGGTCCATTTGCTGGCATAAATTTGATATAAACCAAAAATGGCATCTCCAACTCTATTCCGCTGTGGCCTTTCTCCTATCTAAAAAGAGTTAGCATATTATCTTTTACATCAAAACTACACCCTTCCTTATACTATTTTAGGACCCTACTCATATTGAAGTACAGTGAATTCAAGCCATTTAAAAATATCCTGCATTTTCTATATGTGTTAAATACACGAGAGGCTTTGTATCACATCGGGCTGGGTTGTTGACGCAACAGGTTGTTGATTCATCTACTGAATCCAATTCAAAAAGCAAGCATTCATTTTCTGTTCATGGGTATAGATACAGGGCTGTGAAACGCCTCTATAAATTCTTGCCTGAACCTACCTGGTTTTGTTCTCTGGGCTTCTGGGATTGGAAACCAGTCATGCCAACAGCCCACGCCATTTTAAAAATTAAAATGTAATTTCCAAATTAGGAAATGTCTCCTACAAATTGTCCATTTTGATAATAGTTTTGAGCAGCTCGTTTGTGGTGTCATAGTGTGTAACGCTAACTTAAAACCACGGAGTGTTAAAGGCAGACGTGATGGTGCCCACCAATAATCCCAGCACTTGGGAAGGCGAAGTAGGAGTAAAAAGAGCTCAAGTTCAGCCTTGTTCCATAGCGAGTTTGTGGCCAGCCTGGGTTTCATGACAGCCTGTCTCAAAAAATGAATTAGAAAAAAAAGGACCTTCAAATTTCTGTTTTATAATCAGATTCTATACTAAAAAGTTTAGTTAATTTGAAATGTATAATGTTGTGGCATAACGGGAACAAAACCTGAAATTTTATAGACGTTGAAAAGTATATTTAAAACGCTGAAAAATAAATGAGGAGTTTGTATTTTGGGGTAGTGCTGCCCTCTAGTGACAGTATCAGAGAACTTGTTTCATCTGGTTATCATTTAGTCAGCACAAGTTAATCCAGGCTCATTTTTCCAACCCTAGTTGCACTTCAGAATCACCTGAAAAGCCCATAAAAACCCAGTTCTACAAGTGCAGAGATACTGGTTGATATATAGTGTGTCTTGCATCAGAAGGTTTTAGGCAATACTCTGGAGACTCAGGCATGCATCGTGTTAAGAAGTGCCAGTTTAGCCCGAGAAATCAAGTCTTAATAAAAACAAAGAGTTGGCTCTCAGCTCCAGAGCATTCAGCACAGCCTCTGTTGCTGCTTCTGCACTTCTGTTATTAGGGATACAGCTCCAGCCCCAGTCTTGAGTAACGATTGCTTCTGTGACCATGTATGTGCAACACTCTGCACAAAGATGGGTGCAGAAACACGTATACGCACACAATTACAAAAGCCAACTCTTCCTCCACCCCCACCCCCTGCATTTCAGCTTCCTGCCCATTTCCAATCAAAACACAGCTTCATTATTAAAATCCAGAGATTCCAAACTGATACCCACCCTGGTGAGGAGAAAGGGACTGGAAAAATGAGAAGATGGCATTGAAAACAGTGACCCTCCCTCCCTTCCTCCCCCTCCCTCCTTTTGTCTCTTTCTCTCTCATATGTGTTTCTTATATTCCTGACTAGAATGCAGTTAGAAAACTAAAGGAAGTTTTTTTAGGTTTACAGCAACACCTGGCTACTGGATACCACTTAATAGGCATTGTTTAATGAATGAATGAATAACTGAATGGAAATATGAATAAACAGGTTCACTGTGAGACAAACTAAGAGAGAATTGAATGTTCATGAATATG